TCAGCACTCATGTTTGAATTTGTTTCGGTATCTATATATGCCATCCATGCATATTTTTCTTCCATTCCACAAAAGAAGTTTTGTCCTTCATTTTGCATTTTATTATTTAATCCGAGTGTTTTGCACACGGTACATTCTTTTAGTACTCCTTCTCTGTCGAGTTGTTCAAATATTTCTTGTCGTTGATTATCATGCATCGATAGTGTTTTGGCAAATTCAAATCTACATTCTTTACAGTAAAGATGTTTTATATCTAATTGGTTAGTGATTATTTCAAGTTTATTTCTTTCAAAATATACTATACATCCACAACAGTGATATGTGTGTTTCATTTTCCATGATAATGAGGTTGGGTCTCCTAGGTTAATATTGGTAGTATTGACGATTGCTTCACTGCATCCACATTGGAATTTTCTATTTTTATTTTCTATTTGTTTCAGTGGACAATTTCTAAAGATATGTCCCTCTTGATAACAATAGGTACATTCGTTGGTTCTCTCCCATGGTGGTGGTAGGACTGGTCGTTGACAATTTATGTCTTTACATCCTATTTTTTTACAGCTAAAGCATCTTCGGACTTTTGCCAATTGTATAATTTGATTTGCTTGATTTACTTGACACCTTTTGTCATAACATCTATAACTATTGCATGCAGAGCACCGATCTTTACAGTTGGTTTGAGCGTGTCCTTGTTTTCTACATTTTATGCATATGAAGAGTGGGCAGTCTTTCTGGATGTGTCCTCTTTTTCTACATTTTGCACATATTGATAATGAACAGGTTCGTTGGGTGTGTCCTGTTTTATTGCAGACTGGGCATTCATCATGAATTGACTCCAGGTTTGTTTGATTACTTCTTGCATTTCCATCAGTTGTGGTTTCTTTATTGAAGAGAGTATTTTCAATAGTTCTTAGGTACAGTACTCCTTGAGGTTGTTGGACACTTGGTTGTATTGTGTTTCCGTTAATAGCCATGGTTGTGTCATTTGTAGTGGAAATGATTGGAGGTATATCATAGTTGGTTCCAATTCCACTGACACTACTTTGATTCTGGTTGGTTTCGAGGCTTGAACTTCTGTCTTCCATTTTTGTGCTTCTGTTATTAATTGTTGAATTAATTCTTTTCCGGTTAGGTTTGGATTAATGTTTAGGAAGGTTTCTAATTCTTTCTTTTGTTGTTTGCTTGGTCCTAAGTATTCTTTCCAATACTCGAATATTGATATTAACTGGTTAGTTAATTCAGGGTATGAATTAGGTTTATTTTGTTCAAATTTGTACTATAATACTTCTTCAAGTTTTTCAACCTGTAATTCAAATTGTGTTTTCTTTTGCCAACTATATATTTCCTGTATGCTCATATGTATACTTTATTAATTGTTGATTCTTGTACTTCTTTTATTTCAAAGAGATCTTGACTATTTTTTACTTCTTTGATTTGGTTAACAATTCCAAGGTATGTAGTATTTAGATTAATATCTAAATATAGGTTTTCTGCTAATTCTGTGATTTTTCCAATCAGTGTTTCTTTTTCAGTTTCAGTTATTGGGATAGTTTCCCTTTGTTTCTTTGTTGAGGTAACAAGTTCTTGAAATTTTCCTATTCTATCGTTTAGAAATGTTTGTAGAATTTGTTGATTATTATATTCTTTTCTTGTAAGAAGGTTTCGTATGTCAATTATTATTCCTCGTATCCAGAGTTTAGTATTTTGTACTTCTTGGTTTTTTTGTTGAGCCATATGATGGTGAGGGTTTTGGTGACTTATTTTCAGGGTTCTTTTATACTTTCAGAGTCATTATTCGTTAACCTTGTTTTTGTTTATGTTTATTATCAGGTGCGCGTCAGATTTCCATATCAGTTTTACCACGCGTTTCAGGCTTATCTTTGTTTACAATTTCCTTATCTTCAATTAATAATTCATTTCGTAGGCATTGTAACATATTTTCCCATAAGTCATCATTGTTTTGATGTCTCCAAATGAATTCTAATAGATATGATTGTATCTTATCTTTAGTTCTATTTCTGGCAAGTATTCCGATCTTTATTCCGTTCTATGTTCCTTCAATAGTGTTTGTATGGATTCCGGTTTCTGGATCTACAAAGTATTTGGAATGATTTACTGTCATATGCTCAAAGTTAAGCTTATCATAAATATTTTTGTATGATCTAAAGCAATCTGAATAAATAATTGATCCTTGTTCAATATTATCTTTGATTAATCCTAATAAGGTATTTTCAGTCTTATCTGGTATTATTGTTGCAAATATTTTTCTATCAGGTGTTCTTTCTACTCCTGCGAATACCCATGCACCAATGACGGGTTTTCCGCGGTGATACTTGTTTCTTCCCATTTTTGTTTCATCTATTTCAACAATAATATCTTTTTCTCCTATCTTTTGTTTATATTCTTGTACGTGGGATCCTACTAGATTTCTGATATTAATTAAATGGTAACTGATTGTGCTTGGATTTTTTCCCATGGTTATTGCGATAGATGTGCTTGGCATTTTTAATAACCAATAATAGTATATTTCTAATATCTCATTGACCTATATCTTATCTTTTTCAAACCATGAGTTTGTAAATATTGATTGTGACTTTCTACATTTCCGGTTATTACAGATAAACATTTTGGCGTTATCCTGTTTCATTTGTTTCTCACATTTTGGACATTCTAATTCTTGATTAATGATTCTGTTTGCTTGCAAGTACAGAATACATTCGAATTCTTCTTCCAAGATTTTCTTGATTTCGTATCTTGTCAGGATTCCTTTATTTTTCATTTTTCATTTCCTTCCGATTTATTTTCGAGATTCTTTTCTATAAATTCAGTGCTTTTTAGCAAGCATTTCTTTTCAATGTTCATTCAAATCGTCTTTTTATATTTGTTTTCCTTAATATATCTTCATTTAGCAATTACTTTATTTATCCAATTACTCCTTCTCCTTATTTCCCTTTTTCATTACTATGGCTTTTACTTTAACTAGTTCTGATATCTCTTCCCCTTTAAGTTTCGAAGATTATAGCCATTTTCGTCTTGAGCTTAAAGGTTGTGTAATTTATGTTTTCTACCTTTTCGCTAAATATCTTCATGACGTTGTTTTTACTGAGGAGCGTAATGGTGTGAGTGCTCATCAGCGCATTAAATTTTTTATGGAGAGTGTTATCCTTGAGAATTTTTCTCTTGATGAAGGTGAAGATATTTCTCTTTTTGATTGGCGTATCTATTGGAATTCTACTTTCAAGGATCATTCTTTTCAAGAAATCGTTGATGATCATTGTAGTCCTAATGAGACTATTCCTCTAAGGACTCTTGCTAATCGCCTTTTTGAGTTTGAGGCTACTGGTTGTAACGAGGATGAGGATCCTGAATTTCTTGAGATCAAACCTCCTTTTGGTGAGGTTACTGTTTCTCACGATGGTCAAGACGTTTATATTATCTCTGATTCTTTTCTAAATCCTTCATTACTTGAGGTATGGATTTTTGATCCTTCTTTTACCAGGGATGATGGTAAGGGTTTTACTATTGGTTTATCATCCAACCGGAGTAAGTTAGATAATATTCTTCTAACTTGCTGTGGTTGTATGTTGGACGAATGCTAATCTCTTATTATCTTTTAGATCTTGTTACTGAATATGAAGAAGTTTCTTATGAGTGTTGGGATGGTTCTAATCTTTTCCAATTTTTATATTTCAAGGATTTTATTAATAATAATGAGGAGTTGTTTTTTAACAACATTGACTCCTCTACTTTTGGTCGCTCTTGTTCTAATGATTCAGATGTCGAGAGTATCAATATTCATCTTGATGGTATTTATATTTCTCCTTTAACCGGGAAACCTTTGTCTGATTATAATTGCTCTTTCTGTAACCGTTATGTCTGTAATTGTATAGGTTACTCTAATGATCAAGATGATTCTAATTTTTATCCTTCTGATTAGTTTTCTTCTTCAATTGTAATATTTATTAGTTCTTTTAAATACTTATTTTCTTTATTATTTACTATTCTTGATAATAAATCTGCTGCCTTATTTTTGGCTCCTGGTATTCTATGTATAATATAATTGAATTCTTGTAAATTCATTATCCAATTTTCAATTGTTCTGCTTGTAACAGTTGTTTTCTTTGTTGCAGATATTCCAGTTGCATCAGTATAAATATGTATTTCTTGATTGCCAATGTAATGTCGCCATTGCTTTAAGAATATGTATATCGCATACATTTCTCTTTGTGTTGCAGGCCAATTCTGTTGTGTTTGACTTAAGCCTTTTGATTCTAATTCTATGATTCGTCTATTTGAGGCTGGTGGATTATCGTAGTCTTTTTTAAGTTCTTCTTTTAGAAGTCCTTTTCTAAGTCATTTTTCAGTTTGTTTATAATGTTCTCGTTCTTCATCTTCTTGATATAATATTGCTCCTATGCCTGTTTGTGAGACATCACATTCCATAAAGAAAGGTTTGTTTGGATCTGGGTATAAAAGATATATATTTTGTTTTACTTCTTTTTTAAGATTATTAAATGCTATTTGGCATTCATTCGTCCATTTAAATGTAGTATTTCCGGTTAATTCATATAATGGTGCTGCTATATTAGCAAAGTTTAATATGTATGGTCGGAAGTAATTCATGAATCCCATGAAGGCTTGTACTTCAGTTTTATTGGATGGTATAGTTTTGCTGTTAATTAGAGCTTCTTTATTGGCATTTTTCCGTATTTCTTTGTATCGGATTTTGCAATTAAGTATAGTAGTTTCTTCAACTAAGAATTCACATTTAGATGGCTTGAGTTTTAGCCCTGCTTTTTTGAGGATTGCTAAAGTCCTCTTTAGTCTATTTTTCATTTTTTCTGGTGAATTCGCTACTATAGTCATATCATCCATATATATTTTTAACCATTCGAATTGTTTAAATAATTTATTTAATTCTGCTATTAAATATGCTGGTGCTGTTGTTATTCCAAAGGGTAATCCTTTCCAAAGATATATTTCAAATCTTCCAAATCTACTTGCTGTATATTTTTGAGATTTCGGGTGTACGTTTAGTTGCCAATATGCTGATTTTAAATCCATTGTTGTATAGTATTTATATCTACTGATATCTTGTAAGAATTGCATTGTATTTGGTAATGGTTGTTTAAATTTTACCAAATGTTTATTTAGTCTTCTATAGTCTATTACTATAGCTTTTCTTCCATCTTTTTTAGTTATTATTTGTACATTACTTGCCCATTTGCTATATTCAGGGTATATAACATCATTTTTTTCTAAGTCGTCACATAATTCTTTAATAATTTTTTCTTCTTTTACTGTATATTTTCTTATTCCTTGATTTTTATCATTTTCAGGAATTTCGTGTTCTTTTTTATTCAATACAAATTTAATATCAGGAATTACATTATTATTTATGGAAGTTCTCATTTCTTGTTTTTCTCTAAATTCATCTACATATTCTGTTAAAATGTCTCCAAGTATTTTCCATACGTTATTTCCACATCTTTCTTGCAATATTTTTATTCTTTCTTTCTCTGTTTCTCCTAATTTTTTCGAAAAAAATTCGGGGTCATATCCGATTGTTTCTTTTTCATCCACTTGTTCTATATTTCCAATATGTTCACTTTGTTTTATTTGAATATTTTTATTACTAATATTCATTGCTAATATGTAATCTCTATTTGGTCGTCCTTGTTGTATAGCCAGCCCTTTAGCTGCTAATTGTATAGGGGTCTCTACTATTCCGTTTTCTTGAGGATTTAATATTTTAATACTCATTATTGTCATAGGAGGTATGACTGTTTTTTTTCACTGAATATCTTTTCCTTTTTTGTTTTAATAATGGTAGGTAATATTTTTCTTTTTTGTCTTATAGTTAGATTATTTAAAATATGATTATATTCTTCATCATCTTTTATTCCATATCCTTCTTTATTTTCTTTGAGTTGACTTTCAACTTCTTGTCCAAATCTTTCAATTCGGTGCTCTTCTAAATCTGCTTCTAATTGTGCTTCTAATTCACTTAATTATTCTTCTTTGAATTCCTCTAATTCTTGATATATTGTTTCGGGTACATATATAGTATATGTTTGTCCTCTAAAGGTACCATGTACTGGTCTATAGGTCGAGGATTGTCCTTCATTATGTATATTATCGTAATATGGTATTTCTATTTCTTCTATTTCTTCATTAGAAATTTGGTCTGTATGTTTTGAACTAAGACTTGGGCTTTTGTATCTTTGTTGTTTTCTTTTATAAGAATCTGGTGATGGTGTATAGCCTCTTTTATTTCTTTTTCGATCAATTGTATTGTTACTATTTTCAATAGTAGGTGTGGGTGCTCTACTCAAGGTATGTTAACTCAGTGGTGAAGGTGTCGTTGGTCTAGATGTGAATTTATTTTTAATTCCTTGTTCTACATCTCCAAGAAATTTTGTTACTTTTGGTAATACTCCTTGAGGGATGTCTTCATTCCTTCTAGAGGCTTGTGATAATCTTTCATCTAAGAATATATCATCTGTAGGTGAGTGTGGTATTCTTATTCCAATTTGTTCATTTTCTTTAATAAATTGTTTATCTCTCGGTACATCATATTGTTCGTATGGTTTGTAAGTACTTCTTCTTTCTGGATCGGGCAGTAATATTTGTGGTTTTTTCTTTTTTCTTGCATTGATGACATCTCCATAAATTCTCCCTTGAATTTCTGTATCATCATGCATATCTCCTACTTTTTCCAATTGAAATTCTAAGAATTCTTTGTGTTTTTCAAATAATGCTTGTTTTGTAGGTTCATCTTTACAGTGTGCTTGCGCTGTTATTAACGCAGTTACTGCTGCTTGCTGTTCAATAAGTCCCATATCATTGAATTCTTTAGCAGTTATGCCTAATATTCCATGAATATCTCTATTATATTCTTCTTGAAGATCTTTTATATCATCTCGATATTTCCATATTGTTGCATCATTTGTTTCATTTAATGTTGATAATACTTCATATAAGTATTCTCTTCGTGTTTTTGCAGGTTTGTCAGTATCCTTAATTTTTGTTACTTTTTGTATTGATTCAAGATATTCTTCTATTTCTTCTTCAGTTAAACCTTGGGTATAACTGTAGGTTTTATTTATTTGTTCTAATCTCCAATTGAGATCTTGAATTGTTTTTCAATTTTTGTATCTTTAGCTATTTCTCCATCAACTATAGCTTTATCCAGTCTATTTAATTTTTGTTTAATGATCTGACCCATTTTTCGTGGTTGATTTTTAGGAGGTTCTTCCTCTTTCTTTTTTCCTTTTCTTGAGGGTAGTACCTTATTTAAGGTTTCTTCTACTTTTCTATATATCTGATCTAAGTGTTTATTATTCAAATTCTTTTGTCCTTTATCTACAGGTTGTTTATTATTTGCTATAAAGGTTGTTCTTGCTAACCTGTCTGCTAAGTCGGATACGTCTGGGTCTTCAAATTGAAATCCTAGAGGTATATATATCCCTGATCCTTGGGATCCTGTGATTTCACTTTGACCTTCATCTTTTTCTTTAGTCCACTCTTGAACGTTACGATCTTTTTCTGCTATAACTTCATTTGCATATTTTCGTAATTTCATTACTTCATGTATTTGTGCAATTTGATCTGATAATTCTATGTTTGGTGTTTCTAGTACCATAGCAC